TTCACTGGTTATCTCTCAGTGTGTAACTTATATAAACACAGACCTCTCCTGTAATTGGGGGCATTTTCTTCCCAGAAAGTGAGCACTCCAATGCCTGACTCTGCTGCTGAATAAAGGCTTTGCTGAATTTGTGAGGTCTGTACCCGTCTCAGTCACTTTTGTACTTACACTTGGAATTTGCAAAGACTGTGTATGGTTACCAAATATATATAACCATATATTACTGAACTAGATTTAGCCAAGGTAAAATGTGCATGTAGTTCAAACCATCATAGTGTACATGACAAACACATAAAATTTTCTCTGTAAATTGAAAAATAAATTAATACAAGGAGAAATTTCCAAATAAGTGAATGTTTAAATCACAAAATTATTTTAGTCTGTTTGTAATGAAGACTTAATGTCTCCATTGGTACCAACATAGTTCAGACTGCTCATTCTAACTGGGATATTGAGGGTACTTGCAAAAACTATAGCATTCGCAAAGGTCCGGGAGGGATTGATAAATACCTACAAGGGTATTCTATGTATGTAAAATATGTGCACCATCCTGGAACTAGAAACAGTGTTGAGCCTGGTTCCAAATCAAGGCCTGAAGTAGCAAAGGGAAGTTGTATTGAAAATGAGAGAGAGAGAGAGAGAGAGAGAGAGAGAGAGAGATCTGAATGTACGTGGCCAGCTCTAAGAGTTGTGGCCTTTGGTTAAGGAACAGTCAGTGCCATGTATTCCAGCTGAAAAGGAGTTAGAGAACATATACCAAACTATTCTTTCACTTTTTAATCCTCAGATGGTGGCTTTCATCAACTAGATCTGACTAAAAGCCACATATCAAGGAATCTCCTTGATATAGCCTCTAGGGAAATAACGCAGTAAAAATATTAAATGAGAAATTTGGGAGACTATTCTTTAGCACTGAACACCTGCACTTAGCAGCCAAAGTCCAGAGCAAGCCAAAATAAAATCACTCATGTCAGATGCCATGTAGTCAAATGGAAAGTTTAAGGAACCAGATAGATCCCCCAAAAGAATAGTTTTTTTTTTTTTTTTCATGAAAATGGGAGACTCCGGTCTACCGATGTCAGTGAGAATTTCTATTTTAACTCCTTTAAAATATATAAATATTATATAAAGAAAAAATTAAGAAAGAAAAGAAACTTCAACTGCTTGACATCAACTGACCATTTTTTTTCTACTTTAGTTTCCTTGAACATATCTTAAAAAGCTCTTTGTTCTATCACTGTCCTGTGGGAGCTCTCTAATGTTTTGGAGAATAGAAGCTGCCCAATTTCATGAATCATGAATAAAAGTCAGTTAGGTATAAAAATAAATTTCTGGTAATTTTTTCTTCTGACAAGACAAATATATTGGGATATAGAGTAGATTCAGGAAGAGGATGGGAAATAAAAATATCCATTACATGTGTAATATATGTAAATACATAGTCATATGATATTGGAGGTCACCTTTAGAGAAAAGAGAGAGATTATACCATAGAGACAGTTGTCAAAAGGAAACATGTCCATTTGTTGCTCTTATTCAGCATTTTGGAAACATCTTAATGCTATCTACATGTGTGACAAGTATTATGGGAAAACAATTACAGAAAATACAGACACAAGAAAGAAATATTTTCATCCTGTTCTTATAAAACAATTTAATATTTTACAGCATTTTGAAAAATATCACTTGAATGCTTCTCATTGAAAATATCACATTTTTAATTTGTTTTTTTTTTTTTAGTTTGTCAATGGACCTTTATTTTATTTATTTATATGTGGTGCTGAGAATGGAACCCAGTGCCTCACACATGCTAGGCAAGTATGTGTATCACTGAGCTATAACCCCAGCCCCAAAAGATCACATTTTTGCTTCTCTTTAAAACTCATTTTGTGCCCCTTTATTTTTATGAATAGAGATAATTAAGTCTATGTGAACTGCTCTAAGAATTAGTGAAATAAGAAAATCTGAGATATTTTCTACAAAATCCCTGAATCATTTATTCAATTAACTCTGTTTTAATTGTATTCTGCTTATTTACTATTATTTATTTTTAATTGTATTTTCTCAGTGTGTTGGGAAATGGGATGAGTTCATTTTTAACAAATTTAGCCAGAGAGAGAGATTGACTCCCAGCCTCAATTCAGGAGGCAACAAATTGTAAATTAGATGCATTTCCATAGAGAGATCTGTTCCAAAGAACTTGCTCTGATAATTCACCTGGGAGAAGAGTAAATGAAAGATCTGCATGCTCACAATTCCCAAGGGGTATCAGGAATATCATACAAACAGCACTCTCACAATGCATGTTTGATATTTTCTATTATTGCTTTCCTAATACAGATTTTTCTATTCAGAACCTGTATCAACTTAAAGATTAGAATACGAAAACTAATACTTAAAAAAAGTCTGTGTGATCTGTAGTTTCTCTCTATGTCTCTAAAAGTTTAAAATATTGAAGTAAATTCTTTCCAATTTCCTTTTTACTGAAGAATAACAAAATAAGGTAAGTAGAAAGGAAATTGCTTTTAATAATCATAAACATTATTTTGGAAGGTTGGAGTATGTGTAGATAATACTACTATACATATAAATCTGGAGAGTACTTCACATCAGGGAGCTTATTCTCATTTTCCCTATATTTTATTGGTGCATTATAATTATACACAATGACAATATTCATTCTTGTGTATTTGTATGTGCATACAATATAATAATATAATTGGCCAATATTATTCCCTAGTATTTTCCTGTTCTCTCCTCTCCTCTCTTCTCTTCTTTTCCCCTTGTCCCTTCCTTCACTTTACTGATTCCTCAGGTGTAAAATAAAGGTCATATGTGATAAAAATGAAGTATGAGGAATCTCCATATTCTTTCTGAGTGCTTGCATTCATTTGCAGTCCCACAAAAAAATGTATGAGTGTACGTTCTTCCCCACATCCTCCCCAGCATTTATTATTATTTGTATTCTTGATAGCAATTCTAACTGGAATGAGATGAAACCTCAGCGAGTTTTGATTTGCATTTCCCTATTTGCTAAGGATGTTAAACATTTTTCATTCACCTTTTGGTCATTTGTGTTTCTTCTTTTGAGAAATGTCTTGAAACTGGAGAATATCATACTAAGGGAAATAAGCCAGAAAATCAAGGGTCATGTATTCTCTCTCATATGCAAAAGTCAGAGCAAACTGAGGTGAAATAAAATGAGCAGAGGTTGGATATTGTAAAGACAGAGTGAAAATCAATGGAGTAGAAGGAGACTGAGAAAGGGGTAGGAGAGAGGAGAAAGAGGAGGAAATACAGAATGAATTTGACAAAATTATGCTGTATGTATGTATGTATGTATAAATATACCACAGTGAATTTTAGCTTCACGTGTATATATAAAGTACCAATTAAAAAGATATAAATGAATAGAAAAGAGATCAATAAAATGGAAGAAGAGGAACAGAGGGAGAGAGGAGGAGAGGACATTGGGGGACACTCAGGACTGAAATGGAGTAAATCTCCTGACTGTATTTATGTCAAAATGAACCCAACTTCTATGTACAAATATAATGCACAAACAAAAGCAAAAAAAATGTAGCCTTCAAAAAATGAAGTATGAATAAGATACATTAAAACAAAAAGGTAAGTGGTGATAAAAAGAGGACATCAAAGGGATTGCAGTGTGGCAGTTTATTAAAATGATTTTAAACATTTATGCGTAAATTGATCCCTATGTAGTGAAATAGTTATGTAAAATTATTGAAAGTAGAAGTTACAAAAGTAATGGAATCCAAGACCTAAAATTAATGAAATATGTATGAGAACTATGTGAAAAAGTTGAAGGACAGACTTATAAACCTTAAATATACTTCAGAATAATTTCTTTCTTTCTCACCATACTACTTTATTTTTAGCTAGTTAATTTAGATTTCAATATGCCTTACAATTGAAAAGTAAAGAAATGTTTACTAGAAATGTAAATTAACTTGTGGATTTGAATAAATCTCTGGCATGAATCAGGATATTGACTTTTCTCCTGACAGCAGTTTTCTCATATAAAATTTTTAAAAAGTATTTGTAGTTATCTATTATCTATGAGACACTGATAAATGGCAAAATTCTTTCATTAAGATGATAAAATTACTTGATAAATGAAAAACTGCAATGTAGATAAATCAATTAACTAAAGCAAAAGACTAAACTTTAAATGCTTAGAATATGAAGTAAATAGTTGTGCAAAAAAAAAAAAAGGTACAAACAAGCACAAAATTCTCATGCATGGGGAAACCAATGTGATTATTGAACATTGACCTAGTGGATGTATGTGCAGGATATTAATGTTGAAAGTGTTTGAATTTCTTTCTCAGTTCCACATAATTTAAAAGAGATTTGTTGAAATACAGTGTCCTCACTCCGTGTGGAGATAGTAAGAATATTCACTTAACTAGTAGGCTATGGGTGGGCCTTTCTTGATGATTCTCATAACTCCAGATTTTCTCCTTCTTCTTCTGTTACTATTGCTACCTTGATATTTCTACTCTTCTTAAAGTGAATCATGTGATTCCAGGTCTCCATGCTATATCTATTCTATGGACACCTGGAGGTAGAAACAAGAAGCTTCATTTTAACTGCCTCCACAGCTAATTTTTATGTCAGAAAATATTTGAAAACCACTATTTTGGAATATCCTCAACACAGTCACTTCTAATTTTTATTGAATCCTCACCATAACTCAAGGAGATAATTATTGACAGCTTTCTTATACAGAGGAAAAAATTTGGTTTTATAATATTTAGCTTATTTACTCAAAGCAACTGCCTTTATTTGTAATGCTGTGAACTGAAATTTGGTCAGCTGGTGTCAGGGTTTTGCATATTCCCCTGCAAAGATTTACTACATCCTAACTTCTATAATTATATGGCCAACTTGTAAGAATGTTTTGTCTTTTAACTCTTATGATCTATTTGTTGAAAGTGTTTGAATTTCACTATTACAGGTGAAACAAATTGAAGATAATGGCACTCATTAATGAAAGTCAACCTGAAGAATTCATTCTACTAGGCTTTAATGAGCTACCTTGGCTAGAGCTTCCTCTATTCATTATTCTTCTGATAACATACCCCATGACCCTGATGGGAAACATTGCCATCATTCTGGTGTCCAAGTTAGATCCCAGTCTCCACAGTCCCATGTATTTCTTCCTCACCAACCTCTCCTTTTTGGACATATGCTACACCACAAGCATTGTGCCTCAGATGCTCTTTAACCTGGGAAGCTCTAAGAAGACCATCAGCTATGTGGGGTGTGTAATTCAGCTTTATTTCTTCCACATTATGGGAGCTGCAGAATGTCTTCTCTTGGCTCTCATGTCTTTTGATCGCTATGTGGCCATATGCAGACCTCTGCACTACACCCTCATAATGAATCAGCGCGTCTGTATCCAGTTAATCTCCATTGTATGGCTGAGCGGAATTACTTATGCTATCTCAGAGGGCACTGTTACACTCCAATTGCCACTGTGTGGCGTCAACAAACTGGATCACTTAGTGTGTGAGATTCCAGTTCTTATAAAGACTGCCTGTGGTGAAAAGGAAGCTAATGAGCTAGCACTCTCTGTGGCATGCATTTTTATAGTAGCTGTTCCTCTATGCCTAATTCTTGCCTCCTATGCTAGCATTGGACATGCTGTACTTAACATTAAATCTTCTGCAGGAAGGAAAAAGGCCTTTGGGACATGTTCCTCTCATCTCATTGTGGTTTTATTATTTTATGGCCCAGCTATTAGTATGTACCTTCAGCCCCCTTCTTCCATTAAAAGGGACCAGCCCAAGTTCATGGCCCTCTTCTATGGAGTGGTGACTCCTACAGCCAACCCCTTCATCTACACCCTGAGGAATAAGGATGTAAAGGGGGCATTAGGCAATCTGGTGAGGAGCATTTTCAGTTCCAAACAAAAAAATTGTAGGCAGAAAATGTAACTATTTAGCAATTTGAGTAGGTTTATAAAGGTCTCTTTTATTACTCATTCCTGTCATGAACCTTGTGTTGTATGCTTTTGTTGTATGCTTGTGTTGTATGTTCTTCTATTAAAATATATCTTAATTCATATATTCCTTAATCAGGTAGGCAAGTATTACACCTGGCTAATGTGTGGGTGCTCTCTTTTTGAAAAATTACTTACATAATTCTGTTTGGGTTGTTACATAATGAAAAAGTAACTTTGTTAAATATTAAGATATGTTAATAGTATAAATTATAATTACATTAGTTCAAGCAAATCACAATAACAATTCCTTGACAACCATTCATCAGTGGGCTTCCTATCAGTGTCACTTGAGAAACATTTCATCATTCTCTATGATCCATCTAAGGTCTCTATGTGCACCCTGCCTGTACTTCATTTTGTATGAAGCATTCTGCTCTCAAAAAAAAAATAATGATTTTTTTTTTATTTTAACACTACAGTTATACATAGTAGTTGGGTTCATTTTGATAAGGTCATCAGGCAAGAAATTGATTTTAATTACTATTCTCCCACTTTTATCTCCCATTCTCCTACTCCCTATTCTCATTCCTCTACTGTACTGAAATTTTATCTATCTATTTATTTATTTATTTTGATGGGTTATTTTCACATGTACATAAAGATGAAATTTCCTTTGGTACATTTTTGTATGCATATAACATGATTTTGTTAAATTCATTCTGTCCTTTCTCTTTCTCTACCTTCTGTGTACCACTGATCTTCCCTATGATATCTGATCCTCACTCCAATCCCTGCTAACACCCCTGCTAATTCTTTCCTGTATTTTTTCTAGCTTCAACATAATGAGAAAAAATATTCAAGCCTTAATTATCTGAATCTGGCTTATTTCACTTAGCATGATGTTCTCCATTTCCAACTATTTACCAGCAAATGTCTTTATTTTATTCTTTTGGGCCTAATCAAACTCCATTATGCATATATATCACATTTTCTTGATTCATTCATATATTGATGGGCATCGGGACAGAAAGAATCATGATTCTTAAATTTCATTAACTTCATTTCATGTAGCTCTTTTGTTTAAAAAATCCATGGTTTGGCTTAACAAATATGTGGGTAGTAATTTTTTATGATTAATTAAAGAATTTATTACTAAATTAAAATGAATAGAACAATTGAAGAAAAATATGGATAAGTTTATTCACATTCCTTTTGAATATCATAAAAATAAGTCTTCTGAAACATTGAAAGAACAAGGGAAGAGATATTACTAATGAACTGCTATCTAGAAGCACTTTTGCATAAATTAGAACATCAAAGAAACTCTTATAATGTATGAAAAAGTTATAATTTGTCTTCTGAATTGGAAAGCAACTTGGTTACTTGAATAATATGAGTATTTTTATTATATATATTTTGGATGTATGGATATTGAAAATCTGCATCACTAAAAGTTGAAAATGTAATAACATAAGTCTGCAACTCATACTTAAAAATTAAAATTTCATCACAAAATTTGTTACAACTCATGAGAACAAATATACTTGGATTAAATAGGTATTTTTTTTTAATCAGTATGTTGTAAATTCCAAGTAATGTGTTGTAAAGAAAATAAATACTTGCAAGAAAAACTAATTTGGACATTTCTTTTTTGTTTCTTTCTTTTTTCTTTTTTTGCTATAATGGAAATTGAATCCAGGGACACTCAGCTACTGAAAACTCTCAACTCTCTATTTTCTATCCCTAAATTTATGACGCTAGCCTTAAACTTGTTGTTCTCCTTCATCAGCCTTCCAAATAGTTGGTATTACTGGCATCAATCACCATGCCCAGCTTCATTTAGATTTTTCTGATACATCTTCCTTTTGATCAACATATTCATCAATGAATGAAAGGAAAGTCCATGTTATTCCATATAAGAATTTATTGTAATCTATATACATTATGAAAAATAATGTATCATATGATGCTGACCCACTTATATTTTTTTTAATTTTTAGTTGTAAATGAACACAATACCTTTATTTTTATTTTTTTTATCTATCTTTATGTGGTGCTGGAGATCTAACCTAGTACCTCACACATGCCAGGCAAGTGCTCTATGATGCAGCCATAACCCCAGCCCTTACCCAATTTTTGAGATCAATGGTCTTCAATAATTTAGTTTGGAAAAAAAATCTACATTTAAAAATTGGAAGATTTCTGACAGAATTTTTGAAAATTTCACATAAACACACACAATTTAAAAATTAAAATTCTATCATGGTAAATAATAGTTTTGACCACGTTTATTAAGATATTCTTATCTATCTTAGTTGTATATGCTGGGAGATTAAGCATTTACTGTTTTGCAGCAAAACCCGGAAAGGTTAGTGTCTGAAGCACAGCTATGAAACTGGTTGTAGTTGTTCTGAGTTCTTTCTTTAATTATTTCCCTTTTGGGGATAGTTGATGTTCTTATGAAACTTTAGGCCTACAGAATTACTATTTTTAGAAGCTTGAGTCATGTCTAGACTCTGAGAAATCAGGGCTTCTGAGAACTATATAAAAATCTCAGGAAAAATATACGAGCAAATGAAAGGAGACAGGCACAGACATGTTTTGTTTGTACTAGACGGCTGCACAATTCTGGGGTACATATGTTCAGTATATTTGAAAATTAAAGATATATAATTAATTTTTGAGAAGTTAATTAATATTTGAAGCTCTGAAAATGTGCCCTACCCTTAGTGTACAGCATGCACAATCCTCATATTACCATTTGGTATAAGGCATGTTCTCAGTGAACATGATTTAAACTTTTCTCATTTTCCCAAGCAAGTTTTTCTAGAAGAATAGAAGACAACAAAACATTTTAACCCCAGTTGCAAAGACACTAAAGGTTATAGGTTATTTCATGTCTTGCTCAGGGGTCTTATTTATATCATTACGTGCCTACCTTTATGATTTTTGTCAATCATATAATGCTCACTTTCCTATAGGAAGCTTAGAATATTTCTTGGTGGCCCATGACCTGCTTTTTAAGTCTGACCAAAGGTCAGTGACAAATTGGAAGCTGCTATTCAAGTAAAGAATGGTTGTAAGTATGATCTGTAATTATCCCATTAGAGATTGGTAGAGATTGCACATGACACTCTGGTCATTCACAGATAGTTCATGTGCCTTGGATCTTTTAGGGCACAATGTGGTTGACCATGTACTTTATCAATAAAATACAGATGTTTTAGAAGTGAAAAGGAATGTCATTAAAATTTATACTTAAAATTGGATACTCCAAAGCATATTAGATTCTGCTCAAAGATCTTTTAAGCTCTGCTCCAATTTTTTTTTCATGATATTAATAAACTCCTTTACAAAATCTCCATCTTCTTATCAGTGTTCTAGACTAAAAATATCACTATTATGTTTGATTTATTTCTTTCCCAGAAGATTCAAATATAGTTAAATTTCCATGTCAATCTCCTGTACCACTATCTCATGCTTTTTCCATTTTTTACATATTAAGCACACTTATTCTAGTTGAAGACCTCATTATTGCATAGAAGTTTGCAAAAAATTGAGTTAACTAAGTTCCTATGTTTTCATATTTAAAACTAATTTTTACTTTTCTAAATATGATATCATAAAGTAGACACCAATATAATTTCAGAGTTTAAAATCCAATAAGGTCTCATCCATGTTTTCTTCACCCTCCAAGAAGGTATAAATATGATGAAAATTTAAAATTAAGAGTGAAGTAAGATCCTACAAAATGGAAGAAAATCCTTGCCAGCTATCCTTCTGACAAGGGATTTTATCCAGAAAATAACTGAAGAAACATAACACCAAAATAACAAAAAAGTCAATGTCAAATAAACACATATTTCCCAAAAGAAGACATAAAAAGAACAACAAATATATGAAAAAAATGTTCAACATTCTTAGCAATCACGGAAATGCAATACAAAACTACATTGAGATATCATCTCATTCTAGGTAGAATGTCAATCATCAAGAATACAAGTAATTATAAATGCTTGTAAGAATATGTGGGAAAATGTACACATACACATTGTTGGTGGGACTCTAAATTATTATAAACAATATGGAAATCAGTATACATATTCCTAAAAAATCTAGGAATGGAATCACTGATATTTAATCACTGATTATAATCATAATACTCCATGGTATTTATCCAAAAGGACAAAAATTAGTGCATACCATAGTGATACATGTACACTAATGTTTATAGCAGTGCAATTTATAATATCCAAATTAGGGAACCATGCTGGGTATCCACCAAGAGATGAGTAGACAAACAAAATATACAATGGAGTCTTAATACTCAATCATGATAAAGAATAAAACTTGGCATAGTGGTTACTCAGGAGACAGAGGCAGGAAGATTGACAGTTACAGGCCAATCTGGGCAACTGAGGGAATCACTGTTTCAAAATTTAAAAAAAAAATGAAAGAGTTGCATATGTAGCTCAGTGGTAGAGTACTCTGAGAGCAGTATCCAGTACCACAAAAATAAAATAAATGAAATGGTAAATGGATGAAACTCCACATAGTTGAAATAAATCAGACTCAGAATGTGAAGAGTTGAATGTTTTATTTTATCCAAAAGCCTGAGATAAAGAGGAAATAAAAACAGAGCTCACAAAAAAAGGAAGGTATTGGGGAATGAAATTAACCAAATTAGGTGCATGTGTTATGTCACAATAAATCCCACTATTATGCATTAATTATAATGCACCTATAATAGCAATGTAAATAACATTATGCATCAAAATAATATTATTCAATATATCTCAAGATGCAGATCCCCTGGGGCAGTACATAAGAACAAAATGGGGATATATGTTGAACCAGAACCAGGCACCAGAAACAAAGATAGTATTAAAAAAATGTTTATGTCCTTAGGTGATAAGAGTTTCACAATGAGTTTTAACAGTATTTCATTTTATTCTTAAAATGTTTTAAGTATACACACCAATGGGATTCATT